TTCAATTTTAAGAAACTTGAAACAAAAAGCACTGTTTAATAGTGATCTCTGAAACCCATCACACATTGGATTACTCCTTCATGATAAAGTTGATATGTTAGCCAAGAAGAGTACCCAGAAGGAGAATGTAGAATATAACTTTGGTATAACTGTGTCTAGCATTAGAAATAATATTAGGAGAGAAGTAAATAATGAAAATGATTGTTATAGGAATGCAGTTAGAAGCCTGAGTAGATCTATAACCCACTATGATAACATGAACGTAGATAAGTATGTTTATGGAGAAACTTGCAATGTGAACAGACTGACTGATGTTGTAGTGGCCAGGCTTAGGCTTGGTTGCAAGTACTTCTGGGAGTTTGGGAGACACACAGATGATGATCAAACTAAATGTAAATTATGTGATCAGGCATATGGTCACTCTTGAACACTTATGTGCTAATTGTCCACTTATTGAGGAATACAGGACAGACAGTATAATAACCTATGTGACATGTCAAGGTATCTTATTAATGAAAATAAGATACCAGATATACTAAGCAAATTTCCTAAATTTGCTTGTAACATAAGTGAACTATAGATATGTAGATATAAATCCATATGTATTCCTGTTAACCCTTTGGGGCCTAGTTCCTAGGCCTTTTGTGTATCCATATGCTCTCGCGCTACCGTCCACAGGATGGATATGGGGTGCACAATAAACTAGCCACTTCGGTGGCAAAATCTAAATCTATCTCTGAAACACCTTACCCTTAGGGAATTTTAGAAAACCCATTTTAATACCCACCAGTTTGAAGATAATACACAAAGCCTGGATGGATGGGATGGGGGGAGGGTTAAGGATTTTTTTTTTTTCCCAGGACAGTGAACTCTGCCAAGAAAAAACTGGGCCAAACTGTCAGATTTTGAAGGCTTTGAGGAAGAGCCTGTAGTGAAGGATATTGTTTCTCTGGACCAGTCCATGGGCTTGGCAACAGACAATGAGGATGCAGAAGAGTTGGAGGAGTATCATGAGAATGAACTCGCCACAAAAGAACTTAAAGGCCTGCACAAGGAGCAGCAAGAAGTGGCTAAGGAAATTTCTTCAGAGGGAAGCAGTAAGGGCAACATTTCCACTGCAGAAATTAAGGAGCCGTGTTACCATTGGGCTCAAACACAGTGTGATAGAAAAATGGCAGCCTAACATTACTGTTGTGAATAGGAGTATCGACCTGTTCAATGATAATGTTCCTGAACACTGGAAATTTTTAAAATGTCATCAAAAGAAGACAACATTGAACAGCTTCTTTAGCAAAGGAAAAAATCAAACGCTAGTGAATCCCCATCTTTAACCCTTAATCTGTCCAAGCAGATCTACGTTCATATGCATAGTGCTCCAAAAGTAGATCTACGTTTTTTTACATATTTTCAAATACAAAAAAAAAGTAGATCAGTTTTTTTACATGTTTTCAAATGTAAAAAAAAAGATTACTTTTTTACATACTTTCAAATGTTCAAAAAACGTAGCTCTACGTTTGGACAGCTTAAGGGTTAAAGTGCTACAGCACAGACGGAAAAAAAAAAAAAAACTGACGGGCAGTTACCCAATACTTTTATGGAAGGCGACACCCATTCCAAACAATAACATCTCTCTACCGTACTCTTAGGCCATCAGCACTTCAGTAAAGTGCAAGTAAATTTCCATTTATTTCATGTATTTATTGTTTTTATAGTTTTCATGCATGATTTTATGCATGCAGATATTATACAGGTTTAAATAAGCAATATTTTCCATCTAAAATGTTTTATAATTTGTAATTTTTTGGGGGGTCTGGAATGGACTAATCCAATTTACATTTATTTCTTATGGGAAAAATTGATTCAATACTCATACAACTCGCTATTCGAACAGCCTCCTGTAAAGGATTAAGTTCAAATACTGGGGTACCACTGTAGTACCTGTAATTTTTATCTAAACACATCAGCCATCTCTCACCAAAGTAGGGAGACCCAAAAAAGTTAACACATTCATCATTAGGACTGAAATATTTTAAGTAATGTGGGGGCTATATATGAATTTTTAGACTTCGCTCTAGTGCTAACCTTATATACAAGTGTCAACATGTCATCAGGCTTTTATATGCATTTGAAGAAACTACAATTTACAGTGATTTTAATTTTACAGCACTAGCCCGGAACCTAACTTGCTGTACAAGATGCCCTCTTGTACCACACCATAATTTAAAATTTTATACAATTCCAAGTCTCGGCTTCACTCCACTAAAGGAACACCAAGCACAAGTATCCTGATCGAGAGCAAGATAAGCAAGATATGTGCAACAGTTAGCTATCTATTCCAAAACCTACTTAACTGTTGCACATTTGTCTTACCAATTTGTCAGTATTGTATACCATCATATTCACAGAGCAAAATAGCTTATGTAAATATAATCTTAACCATAATTAACAACGTGCAGTACTTACCATGGACGCGAGTTATTGGTAGGTTAGACTCTTGTAGCAATGCTCTCACCCCACGAGACACCGGTAGTATTACGTGTTTGATGATCCCCATGATTGGTGTATGCGCTCCTAAGCTTCTACATTATTGCAATCTGTCCACCATTCTTAATATTTGCTATGGCATTCCCATATATCACTGCTAAATGTTTGCCTTCAAGTCTGTGATATAGTACTGACTCAAGTATTGTGTCTTCAGCCAGAAAATACCATTTTAAAACATTTTCTTTTAGTGTTACTAAAAGTTAGTTGTGAAATTTTAAGCTTCAGATAATTTTTAGTTGTATTCTGTCAAACAAGCAACTTAATATATCCCACAATCAAATCAATCATTAATTTCAAGTAGTTTGAATTAATACGAAATAGTTCAAATCAATCATTAGCTTGAAGGTCCCGGTGTTCAACTTAAGGAATGCTGGCAAAAAAAAAACACAATTTAGTTAAAATTTATACAGAAATAGCTTTGAAAGGTGTGACCACAGAGCTGACAGTGACTCGTCCAGCCACAGAACACTAGTCCAGTAACATTACTTTATCACAAGAACAAACATACAATATAATGTACATGTGCGAGGACCCCAATGGAAATAAGTAGATTTATTTAGGCACAGGTAAACAAGTACAATTATCATACACAAGTGTAAATTACCAAGATAACCCAAAAACAACAGAACGTGACTCATTTCCATCGAGTCGGAAACTTTTTTTTGGGTTATCCCAGGTAATTTACACCTACGTATAAATGTACTTACGTTTACCTATACCTAAATAAACTTACGAGTGTATATATGTATGAAATATTGTGAAGGCAGAGCAGGAGAGGTGTTGGCAGAGTTTGTCCTTGAGATGGTACTGTGGCAGCAAGACTAAAATAACGCTAAGAATCACAGTGTTAAGCCAACATTCCTGCCATGTTTGTCATACCTCAGGTGTACTATTTAACACCTCAGGAACACCTAGGTTATCTTATCTTAAAAATAGCGATGAAAGAAAGGCCGGAAATAACGTAATTACCGATCTAGAAACCACACCCTTAAACAATTTATTATCCCTCTTATTACCTCTCCTTCAACCTTAAATCAATAATAACTGAGCTGATTGAAGATTAGATCACCGGGGGTGTGGATAAAGAAGGGAAGAGAAGGCAGAGAAGGCAATATGGCGGTGATGAATAAGTACATACCAAGAGCCAGGTACTCCCTCTTGACCTGTGTCTTGGCCTCCACTTTAGTCAAGATCTCAGACAACTTGTTCTTGTCATAGAGAATCTTGATAGCCTGCTGCTTGTAGTACTCAAGGTTGGCAGCCATAATGGAGTGTATAATGGAGTGACGAGGAGCAGCAGGAAAACAGCAGCACCTCCACCAGCAGCTGCACACACACTGGACCACCCTCAACCATACCCGCCAACTTCAACCTTTAAACCTAACTTTTTTTTCCTCATAACTTCCAAAACAATATTCAGATTTAGCCATTATTATTATACCCTTCTTCCCTGTAATTTTCTCAGCCATTATATGAAATAAAATGTCTAAAACAGACTTCTGGGTGTTTTTAGCTAAGCCGTCTCAACCATAATGGAAATTATTCAGTTTATTGGGTTATTCTAAGTTAGTCAACACAATGTACCAAGTCGTGTAAATTAAAACTTGTACAATGAACCTGAAGGAAAGTTTAGTTAATCCCCATAAAAAAATTCTGTCCAAAACAAAACAAAAAAAAGTCACCCCTAAATTAGTAGTAGAGGCGACTTTATTCCGGCAATGTTTCTCTAAGATAAGATTTCGTTCGGATTTTTAACCCCGGAGGGTTAGCCACCCAGGATAAGATAAGAAAGATAAGATAAGATTTCGTTCGGATTTTTAACCCCGGAGGGTTAGCCACCCAGGATAACCCAAGAAAGTCAGTGCGTCATCGAAGACTGTAACTTATTTCCATTGGGGTCATTAATCTTGTCCCCCAGGATGCGACCCACACCAGTCGACTAACACCCAGGTACCTATTTGCTGCTAGGTGAACAGGACAACAGGTGTAAGGAAACGTGTCGAAATGTTTCCACCCGCCGGGAATCGAACCCGGGCCCTCCGTGTGTGAAGCGGGAGCTGTAGCCTCCAGGCCACCGGTAAATGGAAAGTAATAGATAAATGGAGAGTAATAGGTTTGACATTTCTGGTTTATCCTCTATAATTTACACTGTATGATAAATGTGTACCTGTGCCCAAATAAGCTTTACTCAGCAAGTAAATATTTACAGAAAACTCCAGTTTCCTGGGTAATGTCCTTCACCGGCATTAAGGCACCTATGTAATTACCTGGTTGTAGCTACGGGACCCGAACTATACTTGTAAAGGACAGTGAAGAGCAGACCCTATTTACCCCAATGGAAATAAGTCACTCTGTCTGACTTTCTTGGGTTATCCTAGGTTCTCTACACATGTGCTGCTATGTATGATAATTCTACGTAACTATTTGTGTATACCTGAATAAACTTACTTACTTACCTTTTAGTCTCAAATTGGAGTTTTTAGAGGTTGAACGAGGTTCTGACGCTCCTATCTCGCTTCCTTCATTCTCCATAACATGGGTCTGTCTTCCTTCATTCTCCACCACGTGAGTCTGTCTTCCTTCATTCTCCACCACGTGGGTCTGTCTTCCTTCATTCTCCACCACGTGGGTCTGTCTTCCTTCATTCTCCACCACGTGGGTCTGTCTTCCTTCGTTCTCCACCACGTGGGTCTCTCCCCCTTCTTTCTCTATCATTTTCTTGTCTTCCATCACAGAGGTAACAATGAAGGCAGCAGAGTAGGCTGTGTGGGTACCGCTGCCCTCCACTACACTACCCTCCCACACCTTCACACATTAACACATTGCTTGACCTAAAACCCAACATACAATAAATGTGCTTATGTCACGTCAGAAATCTTTATATTAATTTTCTACGTATTTCCGGATGAGGTAAATATATGCATCATAGCATAAACAAAAAAGGCAGGCAATAAAGATGTTTTAATCAGTAATTCAGAAAATGCAGCTGTTTTGGCCTGCCTTTATTTATAATGAAGGAACTGCACTAAACCCGTTTGGGTGTTAGGGCGCTAGGGAATGGGAGTGGTTGGGACAATCAGCCTTGATTCGAGGAAGGGGATGGCAGCTGGGATTCCTTGGATCAAAAGCTCCTCACCATCTTGAAAGTGGTATATGCCACAACAAGGAGTGCATTATTATAATAAAAAAGAAGCGATAAACCACAAGGGCTAACAAGGAGTGCAGATACCGTCATTAAAATACTAACATCGCAAAATGACTTGCACATTTCTGTGAATATTCAGGACAATATAAATGCTCTACTGGAGTCTCCAGTTGTATTCTTATTTTGAAGGGAAAGCACTAAACCCACCGGGTTTATTCTAGGTCTAGATTTAAGTAGTTAATAAATTTTGTGATTAGTTGTCCCAAAACATGCATTTGCATAATTAATGTTTTTTCTCGAGATCTTTATATTGCATCTAATTTCGTCTGTGATATATTATGATCAAATAGAATATGTAATAATTTCGTATATACCTATTATACTTGCATCGATTTTTTAATTTTGTTTTACTACAGCACCTGGGGAGGTTCCTTCATCGGCATGAAGGAACCTCCCCGGGGAGTTCAGTCAAGATCTCTTCACCATTATCAAGGCATCTCCCATGATGGGATTGAGAAAAGTTGTATATACTGCTTCATAATGAAAAGGCATTAGGTTGTCCCGTCAAGGGGCAGAGGGGAACTGTAATTCCCTGGATGTTCTTCACCGGCATCAAGGTACCCATGTAATTACCTACTTGTAACTACGGGACAAGAACTATACTCGTGAAGGGCAGTCCTCATTACCTGTCTTAAACTGGGGCTCCTAATCTAAGGAACTGACTTCTGTGGAGTCATAAAGATTTTCGACTGGAAACAACCAAAAGACTCCCAGACAAATGTAATCCTTGAAGATCAGGATTATTATTATTACTATTATAATCATAACTAAATGCTAAGCCCATAAGGATCATGTAGCGCTGTTGAAGATCAGGAATTGGAATGACCTGAGCAAATTATCATGAAGGCAGGCTGCATACATAGCTTTAATATTAAGTATGCATGATAGAGCCCACGAGACTAGGAAGGAAATTCTAATAAGCTGCCAGGATAGCAGGGCCTTCAGCTGAGATTTAGCCCCTTGCATCCACAAGCAGGTGGGCACACAGATGTAGAGAATGAGTAGCTGGGAAAGCATAGCTGATAATAGCGAGAGAAAAGGAGTGTTGGCACCAAGAACCCAAAATTTGAGTGAATGCATTTATTAAACAATTTTTCTTACACAAATGAATATCTGTCTGGACATGGTCCAAACTTCATAATTCTGTTCTGTATCATAAAATAACTATAATCATTACTTTTTTGCTTCAAAAAATACTGAAAAACAAAAGGCTCAAAGGAAGCATAGAAATAACATTATTACCTTCATGGGAGAGCACTAAATCCATAGGGATCATGCAGTGCCTTGGGGAAATGGGAGACAATGAGGTTTATCCAAGAAAGAATAGGTCAAATTTCTTAAGAGTTAAGGTACCTTCCATGAGGGTAAAAGGGAGGGAAGGGGAGGGTGTTAAACTCGAGAAAAATAGAGGAATAGAATCAAAGTAAAACTAAACTCGCCCAAACTTCAAGGATAATCTTAGTCGCAATAGTACTATTTTCTTGTTTAATTTTAATTAGTGAAAAGCTTTAAACCCGTAAGGGGGTCATATAGGAAGGCATGCAGATTCCATCCAAGGAGAAATGAAGATGTCCAGTTCCTTGGATCAAGAGCCCCTCACTGGCCTCAAGGGACTCTCTAGAACAAAAGATAATGGTTGAATTGCCGACAAAATGTTAGATAAACAGACACAGAATGTAACATTTTATTATGGCAACATTTCACTTTCCAGACTTGTCAGGCCATTACCAGCTTGACAGCTCCTGAAGAGCAAAACATTGCCACAATTTGTCACAATAGTTGCATCTGAGTCCATTTACCAAGCACAAATGATGTTTCCCACACTCATGTTGGAGATAGCTGACCTCTCACATCAATTTGCAATGCAATAGTGCAAGATACACCAGTCCTGCTGCATCCTGGGCAAAAATATCAATATAGGAGGGCCCCACTTATACAGCAGGTTAGATTCCAGACTACTGCCGTAAAGTGAAACAGCCTTTTTAATTTTCAAATACTACATATAAAAACCTGAAAACATGTTTACACTATCAAACCATACCACGGGCGGGATTGAACCCGCGGTCAGAGAGTCAATCCCACCCGTGGTATGGTTTGTTTGCAATCGTCTCATTACGATTTCGTGAGTCATGTTTACACTATCATATATTAAGTGAGCAATAGAACTAGGCCTAAAAAATGCATATACAGTATACACATTACTTTCATCCTTAATTTAGTGAGTAGTGAATATATTTATTGTAGGAAGTCTGAATAAATGAAGAATGGCTATAACTGAAAACCGCTGCATTAGCGAAACTGTAAACCAAAGCACTGTAAAGTGGGCCCTCCTGTATGTAAATAATGACTCCAGTCCTGCTGGAAGTATCAGTGTTGGGTAAACATCTGTCAACAATGATGTATACCTATCGACAATAAAAAAGAATACATGGATAAAACAAACAAAAAAGATCAAATATTTATTTGATTTCAATATAAAATTTAGATATAAGTATTTGTTTGGAATTTAAGTCAATTCATTTTATTTACTGTCATATCAAACTATGTATACTTAAACCTACTTTCATGCAAGTATACTCAGGTTATTCATAAATGTAGATATACATGACAGACCTTGGTATCAATAACGTAGATTTACATGACTGACAGTAAATAAATAAATAAATATAAATAATATCTTTATTTACTACAAGTACATGTACATGGTATACAGGCCTAGCTGACAACAATGACATACTACTGCATAGAAATCCCCTTGTTATGCTCAGCATTTCGGGCAAATTAGGTCAGTGTCCCAGGATGCGACCCACACCAGTCGACTAACACCCAGGTACCCATTTTACTGATGGGGAACATAGACAACAGGTGGAAAGAAACACGCCCAATGTTTCTACTCTGGCTGGGAATCGAACCCAGACCCTCGCCGTGTGAAGCGAGAGTGTTAGCCACCAGTGAAAGTGTTAAATACCATGCACAAAAATGTAACAATATCTGAAAGCTACCAGGGAAAAAGAGAAACACCATACAAATCATGATCTTTTACTTGCTAATTAGACTTCTAATTAGGAATAGGATACCAAAATTTTTGCCGATACCAATACTTATACCAATTTTCAGCTGATACCAATACTGATACCCAGTTTCTGGATGATACCTACACTTTACCTAGATTTTTTTAATTTTAAAATATAAGGGAATGCTTATTGCACAATGGGTGCTAAATAACATATTTAAATAACATATTTTCAAAAATAACAAAAAAAAAAAAAGTAGATAAAAGTTTTTTTTACACATTTTTAAATGTAAAACAAGAAGGAAGATCTACATTTTTTTTACATACTTTCAAATGTTGGAAAAACGTATATATACGTTTGGACCATTTAAGGGTTAACTCATTACTTGGCCTGTTGTGTTAGTTACAGGTTATCAAAGGCACTTGTTGATAGTGTGTGTACATGTGTCTGTGTATACTCATTTATGTGGTTGCAGGGGTCGAGTCACAGCTCCTGGCCCCATGTTTGTGTGTAACTGCACTCACCTGTTTGTGATTGCAAGGGTCGAGTGATAGCTCCCGTGTGTGTAACTCTCATAGTCGTGAGGTAGAGTGTTAATGTTGATACTATTTTTAGGCACACGTGTAATATTAATAGTTTAGAAAGCATCAGTTCTTTTTTAACCGATACCATAAAAATGGCTGATACAAATACTTCAGCACATCCCTACTTCTAATGCAATCTCATAAATATAATAATTCATAAACTGGAAATTTCCCAGAGGCAAATTCCTCATTGCAGTGTTGCACTAGGCTACGTGTTGTCATAGATGTAGTGAAATTCAATATTGTAACTTGGTATGGAAAAAAATTGTACTTAAAATGTTTATTATTCATTAGCGTATTTAAATCTGATACTGAATTCATCATCCTTATTAGAGTACGTACCATATTTTATTTAAAAAATTAAAAATTTTCTTACACCTTCATGACTCACGAAATCATAACACAACTGCAAACAAATCATGGCCTGGAGTTTTAGGGCTTACTTGCCTTGGGTTCAAACCCCACCCATTCTGTGGTTTGGTTAATTTACACCTTTGCTTATAGTGCTTCGTAATTCATCCTAGGTGAATCTCTCAACAACCGAAGTGTGAAGTAAGGTTAGCAATGATAAGCTTTTAGCAACTCAACTACTATAGGGGTGTCTGACTAAGGAATCTGGACAGGCTTCTTTCTTCCCTCTTCTCCTTATTTCCTTTATAAGATGCTTCAGCTACTTTTAAAACAAGCGCATATCTTCCAATTATGTGGATTGTGCCTTCATGACTCGCTTTCTTCAGATGTGTGGCCATTTTCTTTTCCGTTATGATCCTGGAGCTGAAAAACATTTATTAGTTATCAATATACGAAAAGTCCACATATAAAGAAAAAGGCACAATACTGTGAGTGTTACAACACACAATTAACCTGCACATAGGAGAAAGAAACTTATGCCCAAGATGTATATGCATGCTAGTGGCTATCTTTGTGCTTAACAATATTTTATTACATGCAACCTACATTTTGTATAATACACAAAAAAATAAAATTTGAGTGATTCAATATGATGACATTTTGGTCCGACTTGGATCATTAATTAGTCCACTAGTTAATGGTCCAAGTCAGACCGAAAAGTCATCATAGGTTTCTTTTCCCTATATGAGGGTTATTTGTGCATTGTCCACATATTATACCAAATACTGCTCTATTTCAGCCTGTAAAAAATCTAGAACATGATAGACACTGTATTATTATTATTATTATAATCATAGGGAAGCACCAAACTCATATGAACCATACAGTGCAAATACACTGGCAATATGGAGAAACTTGCAATATTATCATCAGATACACAGTAATTCTGGAATAATCAGTAGTGTCTCAGCCTTTACAGATGGTGGATCAAGCCTCCACAACTTATACTGAATGACCAATGTGGGTTCAGTGAATGACTAATATGGATTCAATGAATGACCAATATGGGTTCAGTGAATGACCAATATGGGTTCAGTGAATGACCAATATGGGTTCAGTGAATGACCAATATGGGTTCAGTGAATGACCAATATGGGTTCAGTAAATGACCAAAATGGGTTCACTGAATGACCAACATGGGTTCAGTAAATGACCAATATGGTTTCAGTGAATGACCAATATGGATTCAGTAAATGACCAATATGGGTTCAGTAAATGACAATATGGGTTCAGTGAATGACCAATATGGGTGTACATCATGAGAGAGATACATGTAATAATCTAATTGATGGACAGCAGATGTTAATGTAAGACAGTAAAAAAAATACAAAATTACATACCGACAGAGAGAGAGCGAAGGCTAATTCCAGATCCTCTTGTTCTTTCAATTTTTTCCAATGGTGTGAATTTCTTTTTTCTTTACAACTCTCGAATTCTTGCTTTTGCATACAAGCATCTTCACTTCCACCAGTTCTTGACCTGAATGGAGTTTTCTGTTCATCCTGAGAGTACTTCCAACCTATGGTTTCATTCTTCATTTGTTCATTGCCTGATACTATTAAATTGGGCTCAATGCTATGAATGGTCTCATCTGTGAAACTGGTCACTTTCTCACCAATGTAACATCTTTCATCACCTGTGGATGAAGCCTTCATGCACGGTGTATCTTCCTCCAACTTCTGTGTGCTGAAGTGTCTGTCTTCATATTTACAAGAATATGGAGCTGCGCAGTTATCACCTGTTATCTCTGATTCCACGCTACATTTTCTACCTTGGCTGTTAAAAAGTAGTTTAGAGTCGTCTTCCTGATGAGGCCAACAACATGATTTTTCTTTATCTATGAAAGATCTGGCCCACTCAATTTCTCTCTCTTGGAGAACTTTTGCCAACTCCAGACTTAGTCTTTCTTCTTCCTGCTGCTGTTGAGAGTTAATGCTGGGAGAAGCCTCATCTGTGAAACTAGATGTTTTCTTATTATAGCAATCACTTTCATCATGTGAGTATGGAGTGTCCATACTTAGTGTCTGGTCCTCAGGCATCTGAGCACCAAAGTAACTGTCCTCTCTATGAGCTATGAAGTCATCACCTGCTGCCTCTGATACTACACATTTTGTATTGTGACTTTTAAAGAGTGGTGCAGATTCTTTCTGAAGAATCTGGTGCCATGATAGATCATGGTCTGTCAAACGTCTTTCTGCCAACTCAATTTCTCTGCTTTGGAGATTTCTTGCCAGCTCCAAACTCCGTTCTTCCTCTTCTTGCTGCTGTTGTTGCTGTTGAGAGAGAGATCTAGCTAATTCTATATCCCTCTGGTGTAACATCTCCTTATATGACAGGCGGATAGCATAAAGAATTTGCTCTTCATAGGACATCATTAATGAGCTGGTCACAGAGTCACTATTCTCTTCTTCGCACTTGTTGAAATTTTCCTGTTGACAAAGATAAATATAGTACACTCAAATTATGAACCAACTGCTTCAGTATTTAGAAATAATTCCTTAGGTCAAAACAGTTACTCTACAAATTCTTGTACATAAGCAATGGGTAAGGTTATGAGGATAACAAAAAGATTAGGTGATGAAAGATTGGATATCAGATTGGAGGAAGAGAGTATGGAGGAGGTGAATGTATTCAGATATTTGTGAGTGGACGTGTCAGCGGATGGGTCTATGAAAGATGAGGTGAATCATAGAATTGATGAGGGGAAAAGGGTGAGTGGTGCACTTAGGAGTCTGTGGAGACAAAGAACTTTGTCCTTGGAGGCAAAGAGGGGAATGTATGAGAGTATAGTTTTACCAATGCTCTTATATGGGTGTGAAGCATGGGTGATGAATGTTGCAGCGAGGAGAAGGCTGGAGGCAGTGGAGATGTCATGTCTGAGGGCAATGTGTGGTGTGAATATAATGCAGAGAATTTGTAGTGTGGAAGTTAGGAGGAGGTGCGGGATTACCAAAACTGTTGTCCAGAGGGCTGAGGAAGGGTTGTTGAGGTGGTTCAGACATGTAGAGAGAATGGAGCAAAACAGAATGACTTCAAGAGTGTATCAGTCTGTAGTGGAAGGAAGGCGGGGTAGGGGTCGGCCTAGGAAAGGTTGGAGGGAGGGGGTAAAGGAGGTTTTGTGTGCGAGGGGCTTGGACTTCCAGTGGGCATGCGTGAGCATGTTTGATAGGAGTGAATGGAGAAAAAGGGTTTTTAATACTTGACGTGCTGTTGGAGTGTGAGCAAAGTAACATTTATGAAGGGATTCAGGGAAACCGGCAGGCTGTACTTGAGTCCTGGAGATGGGAAGTACAGTGCCTGCACTCTGAAGGAGGGGTGTTAATGTTGCAGCTTAAAAACTGTAGTGTACAGCACCCTTCTGGCAAGACAGTGATGGAGTGAATGATGGTGAAAGTTTTTCTTTTTAGGGCCACCCTGCCTTGGTGGGAATCGGCCAGTGTGTTAATAAAAAAAATAATAATAAAGCAATGGGTTACCCACATTTTATTCTGTTAAAGAATTTTCTTACATTTTATTCTGATGCTGATGAATCGGAGCTGTCCTCCTCATTTTTGGATCAAACCCAATTACCTCTAACCCCTCCATATGACCCTTATGTCTTAGTGCTTCACAATAATGGTGGTAATCATCTTTATAAGAACATTCCCCATATAACAATTGATGACAACTTCACACTGGTAAAAAAAGTCCCTAATACAGTTTGTCCCCCTGCTATTTTTCTCTCTTTTTTTCTTTAATTATTGCTTAACATCTATATGCTTCTATGCTGGTGCACTAAATGGTAATGAACACTTGATCACTTGATAATGGAAGAATATAAAACCAACACTGAGACAAAAATTTTATTATTTATTATCACACCGGCCGATTCCCACCAAGGCAGGGTGGCCCGAAAAAGAAAAACTTTCACCATCATTCACTCCATCACTGTCTTGCCAGAAGGGTGCTTTACACTACAGTTTTTAAACTGCAACATTAACACCCCTCCTTCAGAGTGCAGGCACTGTACTTCCCATCTCCAGGACTCAAGTCCGGCCTGCCGGTTTCCCTGAATCCCTTCATAAATGTTACTTTGCTCACACTCCAACAGCACGTCAAGTATTAAAAACCATTTTGTCTCCATTCACTCCATAAACAAAGCTACAGCAAGCCTGCTGGAAGTCCGGCCCTCGCACTTAAAAAACCTCCTTTACCCCCTCCCTCAACCCTTCCTAGGCCGACCCTACCCCGCCTTCCTTCCACTACAGACTGATACACTCTTGAAGTCATTCTGTTTCGCTCCATTCTCTCTACATGTCCGAACCACCTCAACAACCCTTCCTCAGCCCTCTGGACAACAGTTTTGGTAATCCCGCACCTCCTCCTAACTTCCAAACTACGAATTCTCTGCATTATATTCACACCACACATTGCCCTCAGACATGACATCTCCACTGCCTCCAACTTGTACAGTATATGTCAACCTCTATCTGAGGATCCTAAATGAAGGCTGAAGTATACAGATTTCTTTTCCTGTTTTTATATCCATGTTGGTTATATCTTCACAAAGGTCCATTTGAAGCCTTCAGAGTGCAGACACTACACTCTGAAGGATAGATGGGGATATTACAATCTTGGAGCTGGGAAGTACAGTGCCTGCACTCTGAAGGATGGGTGAGGATGTTACAGTCCTGGAGGTGGGAAGTACTAAAGGTTGCTTACCTCCTGCACTAACTGAAGTATACTTATGTTGTCTGGAAAATTCTGTGTGTCCATGTCTTGGTAACAACGACAAACAGGGCAACGAAAACGCTCACGGCGGCTAATCTCACCTTTAGAAAAAAGCCAAAATAAAAATATTGTTGTATTATTCTTTAAGGAAATTTATATGCACATAAATTAATACAGAATCTTTATGCAATTATAGTTTTATGTTTCTAAATTCTTAAATAGTTTTTCTGACTCTTTCCTTATCAACTATACCAGTGGACATGCAGTTCATCGCAGCTATAAAGCTATAATACCCGTAATGCTTTTTTTTTTTTTTTATTATCACACTGGCCGATTCCCGCCAAGGCAGGGTGGCCTGAAAAAGAAAAACTTTCACCATCATTCACTCCATCACTGTCTTGCCAGAAGGGTGCTTTACACTACAGTTTTTAAACTGCAACATTAACACCCCTCCTTCAGAGTGCAGGCACTGTACTTCCCATCTCCAGGACTCAAGTCCAGCCTGCCGGTTTCCCTGAACCCCTTCATAAATGTTACTTTGCTCACACTCCAACAGCACGTCAAGTATTAAAAACCATTCGTCTCCATTCACTCCTATCAAACATGCTCACGCATGCCCACTGGAAGTCCAAGCCCCTCGCACACAAAACCTCCTTTACCCCCTCCCTCCAACCTTTCCTAGGCCGACCCCTACCCCGCCTTCCTTCCACTACAGACTGATACACTCTTGAAGTCACTCTGTTTCACTCCATTCTCTCTACATGTCCGAACCACCTCAACAACCCTTCCTCAGCCCTCTGGACAACAGTTTTGGTAATCCCGCACCTCCTCCTAACTTCCAAACTATGAATTCTCTGCATTATATTCACACCACACATTGCCCTCAGACATGACATCTCCACTGCCTCCAGCCTTCTCCTCGCTGCAACATTCATCACCCATGCTTCACACCCATATAAGAGCGTTGGTAAAACTATACTCTCATACATTCCCCTCTTTGCCTCCAAGGACAAAGTTCTTTGTCTCCACATACTCCTAAGTGCACCACTCACCCTTTTCCCCTCATCAATTCTATGATTCACCTCATCTTTCATAGACCCATCCGCTGACACGTCCACTCCCAAATATCTGAATACATTCACCTCCTCCATACTCTCTCCCTCCAATCTGATATCCAATCTTTCATCACCTAATCTTTTTGTTATCCTCATAACCTTACTCTTTCCTGTATTCACTTTTAATTTTCTTCTTTTGCACACCCTACCAAATTCATCCACCAATCTCTGCAACTTCTCTTCAGAATCTCCCAAGAGCACAGTGTCATCAGCAAAGAGCAACTGTGACAACTCCCACTTTATGTGTGATTCTTTATCTTTTAACTCCACGCCTCTTGCCAAGACCCTCGCATTTACTTCTCTTACAACCCCATCTATCAATATATTAAACAACCACGGTGACATCACACATCCTTGTCTAAGGCCTACTTTTACTGGGAAATAATTTCCCTCTTTCTACATACTCTAACTTGAGCCTCACTATCCTCGTAAAAACTCTTCACTGCTTTCAGTAACCTACCTCCTACACATGCACCTGCAACATCTGCCACATTGCCCCCCTATCCACCCTGTCATACGCCTTTTCCAAATCCATAAATGCCACAAAGACCTCTTTAGCCTTATCTAAATACTGTTCACTTATATGTTTCACTGTAAACACCTGGTCCACACACCCCCTACCTTTCCTAAAGCCTCCTTGTTCATCTGATATCCTATTCTCCGTCTTACTCTTAATTCTTTCATTAATAACTCTACCATACACTTTACCAGGTATACTCAACAGACTTATCCCCTTATAATTTTTGCACTCTCTTGTGTCCCCTTTGCCTTTATACAAAGGAACTATGCATGCTCTCTGCCAATCCCAAGGTACCTCACCGTCTTCCATACATTTATTAAATAATTGCACCAACCACTCCAAAACTACATCCCCACCTGCTTTTAACATTTCTATCTTTATCCCATCAATCCCAGCTGCCTTACCCCCTTTCATTTTACCTACTGCCTCACGAACTTCCCCCACACTCACAACTGGCTCTTCCTCACTCCTACAAGATGTTATTCCTCCTTGCCCTATACACGAAATCACAGCTTCCCTATCTTCATCAACATTTAACAATTCCTCAAAATATTCCCTCCATCTTCCCAATACCTCTAACTCTCCATTTAATAGCTCTCCTCTCCTATTTTTAACTGACAAATCCATTTGTTCTCTAGGCTTCCTTAACTTGTTAATCTCACTCCAAAACTTTTTCTTATTTTCAACAAAATTTGTTGATAACATCTCACCCACTCTCTCATTTGCTCTCTTTTTACATTGCTTCACCACTCTCTTAACCTCTCTCGTTTTCTCCATATACTCTTCTCTCCTTGCATCACTTCTACTTTGTAAAAACTTCTCATATGCTAACTTTTTCTCCCTTACTACTCTCTTTACATCATCATTCCACCAATCGCTCCTCTTCCCTCCCGTAATGCTTGTGTGCCTTACAAGCCAATGCATAACGTTGTACATAATGTTCCTAGTTCATGCTAAGCATGGTGCATGCCCCAAGTGTTAACAAGCCAATTGAGGATTTATCGCTTTTCTTGCGTTTATAAAACGTAATTAAAAAAAATAAGATAATTACTGATGCAAGATTTGCAAAATGTGTGTCCACACGCAGGCAAGAGGGTTGGCCGTCGGTTCTGCACATTGTAGTTCATCCTGCACACGCCACAGCACACAGCAGTAGTGGCCTGTAAGATAATGATAAAAGATATTAATTACCATTAAAATACATGGAAGTTACAATAGGTGGGTTTATAATCTGTATGGTTACAGGTTGGTTACAATTTCAGAAGTAGATTAGAGTGCATATTCTAAGGAAAGCCTCTTGTTATACAAAGAATTTTGGGTAGACTAATTCTAGATATTACAAGCTATTACATTAGTCTTAGTATGTATATTTATTTGTTGTGTGATGTCACAAGCCAATGAAAAAAAAAAGATAGTCATATGTACATTTGTGTGTTGTGTGATGTCATAAGCCAATGAAAAAATAGTCATAATCATAATAATCATAATTTACATTTCAGCATGATAAAACTTTTATACAAAGATAAGCAACAATTAGGTGTGCATGCAGAAAGCCCCTTGTATGCAGTGAATTTTGGACAAACAGTCAGGAAAAAACATTTGGAAACAGGAAGTGAGAAGGCAGAGAATCTTGAAGAGCAGAAACAGATAATTATTAACCCTTTGACTGTCGCGGCCGTATATATATGTCTTACGCGGTACCGTGTTTGACGTATATATACTCATAAATTCTAGCGGTTTCAAATCAAGCAGGAGAAAGCTGGTAGGCCCACATGTGAGTGAATGGGTCTGTGTGGTCAGTGTGCACCATATAAAAAAAATCCTGGAGCACGCAGTGCATAATGAGAAAAAAAAAACTCCAACCGTTTTTTTTAATTAAAATGCCGACTTTGTGGTCTGTTTTCGTATAGTATTTATGGTTGTATTCTCGTTTTCTTGGTCTCATTTGATAGAATGGAAAACATATTATAGAAATAGAGGAGATTTTGATTGATTTTACTATAAAAAGAATCTGGAAATGGAGCTCAAAGCAGGGAAAATGTTTGATTTTTGCCAATGTTCAAAAGTAAACAAATGATGTCATTGTCCAATAAATGTCCAAGTAGCCACTCTAATATGCAGTCATGAATGGGTTGATGTTATTTATACAATTATTACAGTATTGCAGTAGTCTGCATAACAATAAATCTTCTATTTTTTGTTTGAATAAAAATTTTTCTTCTTCTCTTTTTTAGTAATTGTATACAGGAGAAGGGGTTACTAGCCCATTGCTCCCGGCATTTTAGTCGCCTCATACGACACGCATGGCTTACGGAGGAAAGATTCTTTTCCACTTCCCCATGGACAATAGAAGGAATAAAAAAGAACAAGAGCTATTTAGAAAAAGGAGAAAAACCTAGATGTATGTATATATATATATGCATGTGCGTGTCTGTGAAGTGTGACCAAAATGTAAGTAGGAGTAGCAAGATATCCCTGTTATCTTAGCGTGTTTATGAGAGGAGAGGAGAGTTATTAAATGGAGAGTTAGAGGTATTGGGAAGATGGAAGGAATATTTTGAGGAATTGTTAAATGTTGATGAAGATAGGGAAGCTGTGATTTCGTGTATAGGGCAAGGAGGAATAACATCTTGTAGGAGTGAGGAAGAGCCAGTTGTGAGTGTGGGGGAAGTTCGTGAGGCAGTAGGTAAAATGAAAGGGGGTAAGGCAGCCGGGATTGATGGGATAAAGATAGAAATGTTAAAAGCAGGTGGGGATATAGTTTTGGAGTGGTTGGTGCAATTATTTAATAAATGTATGGAAGAGGGTAAGGTACCTAGGGATTGGCAGAGAGCATGCATAGTTCCTTTGTATAAAGGCAAAGGGGATAAAAGAGAGTGCAAAAATTATAGGGGGATAAGTCTGTTGAGTGTACCTGGTAAAGTGTATGGTAGAGTTATAATTGAAAGAATTAAGAGTAAGACGGAGAATAGGATAGCAGATGAACAAGGAGGCTTTAGGAAAGGTAGGGGGTGTGTGGACCAGGTGTTTACAGTGAAACATGTAAGTGAACAGTATTTAGATAAGGCTAAAGAGGTCTTTGTGGCATTTATGGATTTGGAAAAGGCGTATGACAGGGTGGATAGGGGGGCAATGTGGCAGATGTTGCAAGTGTATGGTGTAGGAGGTAGGTTACTGAAAGCAGTGAAGAGTTTTTACGAGGATAGTGAGGCTCAAGTTAGAGTATGTAGGAAAGAGGGAAATTTTTTCCCAGTAAAAGTAGGCCTTAGACAAGGATGTGTGATGTCACCGTGGTTGTTTAATATATTTATAGATGGGGTTGTAAGAGAAGTAAATGCGAGGGTCTTGGCAAGAGGCGTGGAGTTAAAAGATAAAGAATCACACACAAAGTGGGAGTTGTCACAGCTGCTCTTTGCTGATGACACTGTGCTCTTGGGAGATTCTGAAGAGAAGTTGCAGAGATTGGTGGATGAATTTGGTAGGGTGTGCAAAAGAAGAAAATTAAAGGTGAATACAGGAAAGAGTAAGGTTATGAGGATAACAAAAAGATTAGGTGATGAAAGATTGAATATCAGATTGGAGGAGAGAGTATGGAGGAGGTGAACGTATTCAGATATTTGGGAGTGGACGTGTCAGCGGATGGGTCTATGAAAGATGAGGTGAATCATAGAATTGATGAGGGAAAAAGAGTGAGTGGTGCACTTAGGAGTCTGTGGAGACAAAGAACTTTGTCCTTGGAGGCAAAGAGGGGAATGTATGAGAGTATAGTTTTACCAACGCTCTTATATGGGTGTGAAGCGTGGGTGATGAATGTTGCAGCGAGGAGAAGGCTGGAGGCAGTGGAGATGTCATGTCTGAGGGCAATGTGTGGTGTGAATATAATGCAGAGAATTCGTAGTTTGGAAGTTAGGAGGAGGTGCGGGATTACCAAAACTGTTGTCCAGAGGGCTGAGGAAGGGTTGTTGAGGTGGTTCGGACATGTAGAGAGAATGGAGCGAAACAGAATGACTTCAAGAGTGTATCAGTCTGTAGTGGAAGGAAGGCGGGTAGGGGTCGGCCTAGGAAGGGTTGGAGGGAGGGGGTAAAGGAGGTTTTGTGTGCGAGGGGCTTGGACTTCCAGCAGGCATGCGTGAGCGTGTTTGATAGGAGTGAATGGAGACAAATGGTTTTTAATACTTGACGTGCTGTTGGAGTGTGAGCAAAGTAACATTTATGAAGGGATTCAGGGAAACCGGCAGGCCGGACTTGAGTCCTGGAGATGGGAAGTACAGTGCCTGCACTCTGAAGGAGGGGTGTTAATGTTGCAGTTTAAAAACTGTAGTGTAAAGCACCCTTCTGGCAAGACAGTGATGGAGTGAATGATGGTGAAAGTTTTTCTTTTTCGGGCCACCCTGCCTTGGTGGAATCGGCCGGTGTGATAATAAAAAAATAATAAAAAATAAAAATTCTAGAATTTAACAAGATAATAAGAGGGGCTTGGAGATGTGACTGATGACAAGAAATGTTTTTTAGAGCCAGAATGTGCATGTCATTTGGACCCATATTGAAATTGCATATTTCTTAATTTTCATGAAATGGCCAAATTAGCAAATTACTGACCACGTTATTGGTATTTAAATTAGTAAATGGCAGTTTCTGTACTCATGATAGAAAAAAATGGCTGTTTTAACGAAATAGTATGATTTGGTTGATGAACAATGTATTAGCCGAAAATAGGCTCAATGTGGGCGTAAATCGCGATTGTAAATATCCGAGTGAACATTCAGAGACGAGAGTTTGATATGTTTTTGGTATATAAAAAGAATTCTAATGGACTTCAAAGAGGAATAATGTTTTTTTTGCAATTTGCGAAAAGTAACTCAGATTGGGTGTCATGTCCAATAATGCCAAGTAAGACTCAAGATGCAGTCGAATGGGTGATGTTATTTGATACAATTATACAGTATTCTGACCAGAGTCTGCATCAGACAGTGAAACTTCTATATTTCTGTTTGAATAAAAATAATAAAAGGTAGATAGTAGAAGAAATTATCAGAGGGGCTGGAGATTGACTGATGTAAAAAAGAAAATGTTAATTTTAGAGCCAGAATGTCTGCATTGTTCATTCTGGACCCTATTTTGAAATTGTCATATTTTTTAATTTTCATGAAATTGGCCAAATTGCAAATTTCTGACCACGTTATTGGGTAGTTGAAATTAGTAAATGGGCAGTTTCTTGTACTCAATCGATAGAAAAAAATGGAGTTCTAAAGAAATAGCTATGAGTTTGGTTGCTGGAACAATGGAATTAGCCGAAAATAGGGCTCAAAGTGGGTGAAATCGCCGATTTGTAAATATCGCCGAGGTCGCTAACTTCACGAGACCGTAATTCCGTCAGTTTTCCATCAAATTTCGTTTTTTTGGTGTCATTACAATCAGGAAAAGATTCTCTATCATTTCATAAGAAAAAATAATGTATTTTTTTTTTTTAAATTTTGCGACACCTGGAGACACCTCAGGATTGGGGGTTGCGACAGGCAAGGGGTTAAATGACTGCACAGAGAATGACCAGTCGGGCTGTGGCTCGTACGTTGGATTGTGTGCAGCCAGAAGTAACAGCCTGGTTGATCAGGCTCTGATCCACCAGGAGGCCTGGTCACAGACTGGGCCACGGGGGTGTTGACCCCCGGAACTCTCTCCAGGTAAACTCCAGGTTAAAGAGTAAAAATAATAATAGAGGGTAGATTAGGTTAGGTAAGGAACTTTTGGTCATCTGACCGAGGCCTTCTGCTGGTTTACCAGTCTACCTCTTTAAAAATTATAACAAATGAATAATTCAGAACAGAGGGTGATCTGACTGATGTCAGAAGGAAAGATAATTAGGTTTGATCCAAGGAAGAGAAAGATATCACCAATTCCATAGATCAAGAGTCCTTCACTATCCTTCAAGGTACCTCCAATGAAGGGTATAAAAATAGCTGAGTTGAATGAATTCCAGGAAACTGGAACCCTTTAAAAAAAAAAAAAAAGTGCTTACATGCTGCTCAAAAAGTTCTTGATCAAAGGATTTAAGGTACTTTCCCCTTTCTTCAATCAAACTTGACTGCCTTCTAATCCCAAAGTGCTGTACGAGCTCTGAGTTTAACGCAGAAGTACAGGAAGGCCCCAAGTATACAGCTCCCACTTTTCGGCATTCCACATTTTCACTGGCTTTCAACTTGGCCATTGTTCATTATGTTTGGTGCTTTCACCACTTTTCTGCTTTTTCACACAACAGTTGTGTAAGGGAAGGATGACTGGCATCATATTTTAGGGTAAGTATTATATGTACTGTGCATTTATTTTACTTTTTTATCTGTCATTTTATGCCTAACTGTATTGAGCACTTAGTACATATGATAGTGTAAACACGTTATCAGGCACTTTAGACGCATCTGATAAATGAAAAAAAGCTCTTTTCCACCTACTAGCAATTTTTGCTTACTGTTTGGGGTCATGAACCTTAGGAGCCATAGGAATGGGGCCTGCCTGTAATAAAAATAATATTTTTTCAGCATACCAGCCACATCCCACCAAAGCAGGGTGACCTAAATAAAAAAAACGAAAGTTTTTCTTATTAAATTTAGTAATTTATACAGGAGAAGGGGTTACTAGCCCTTTCCTCCCAGCAGTTTAGTTGCCTCTTACAACATGCAATAATAACAACAACAACAACAATTAATAAAATAATAATAATCAAAGAAAACGTGTTCAGCAATTATTGCAAAGTTTAAAAATACAGTGGACCCCCGGATAACGATCAGCTCCCAACTCGACCAATTATGTAAGTTTATTTTTGTAAGTGCTTTTGTAGGTGTATTTTTAGGGGTCTGAAAAGGACTAATCTAATTCACAATATTTCTTATGGGAACAAATTCGGTCTATAACGGCACCCAAACAGACTTCTGGATTGAAATAATATCGTTATGCGGGGGTCCACTGTATTGTTTAACATGCTGGCTGTCTCCCACCAAGGCAGGGCAACCCAAAAAAGAAACATTTTCACCATCATTCACGCTATCACTGTTTTGTCAGAGGCATGCAGATATGACAGTTGAGATGTCACTCTAAACAGCAAATATCCCAAATCCCTCCTTTAAAAATAATTAAGATAAATTAAAGAAAACAGAGCACCACAAACACAGATCTAGTCTTGTAACTCCCAGTTAATTATATGTAAATATTTTTTCTTTGATTTTATCTTAATAGTTCTTGGTCTTATTAATTTTCCTTTTATATCCATGGGGAAGTGGAATAAGAATCTTTCCTCCGTAAGCCATGCGTGTTGTAAAAGTCAACTAAAATGCCGGGAACAATGGGCTAGTAACCCCTTTTCCTGTAAAGATTACTAAAAAGAATAAGAAGAAGAAAATTGTCAAAGTGGGAAGTCTGAATGTGCGTGGATGTTGTGCAAATGATAAGAAAGAGATGATTGTGGATGTTATGAATGAGAAGAAACTGGATGTCCTGGCTTTAAGTGAAACAAAGCTGAAGGGGGTGGGAGAGTTTCAATGGGAGGAATAAATGGGATTAGGTCAGGGGTTTCAAATAGAGTTAGAGCAAAAGAAGGAGTAGCAATAATGTTGAAGGATAAGCTATGGCAGGAAAAGAGGGACTACAAATGTATAATTCAAGGATTATGTGGAGTAAAATAAAGATTGGATGTTGAAAAGTGGGTTATAGTAAGCGTGTATGCCCTGGAAAAAGAGAAAAGGGTGTAGAGGAGAGAGAGAGTTTGGGAAATGTTGAGTGAATGCGTGGGGAGTTTTGAATCAAGTGTGGGGAGTAATGGTGGTTGGGATTTCAATGCAAAAGTGGGTAAAAATTTTTATGGAGGGAGTAGTAGGTAATTTTGGGGTGCCAGGGGTAAATGTAAATAGGGAGCCTTTAATTGAGCTATGTGTAGAAAGAAATTTGGTAATAAGTAATACATATTTTATGAAAAAGAGGATAAATAAATATACAAGGTATGATGTAGCACGTAATGAAAGTAGTTTATTAGATTATGTATTGGTGGATAAAAGGTTGATGGGGTAGGCTCCAGGATGTACATTTTTTATAGAGGGGCAACTGATATATCGGATCATTATTTAGTTGTAGCTACATTTAGAGAAAAGAGGTAGAGGGGGGAAAAAAGAGGAAGGTGGCAACAACAAGTAAGAGGGAGGTGAAAGTGTATAAACTAAGGGAGGAGGAAGTTCGGGCGAGATATAAGCGATATTGGCAGAAAGGTGGGCTAGTGCAAAGATGAGTAGTGGGGGGTTGAAGAAGGGTTGGAATGTTTTAAAAATGCAGTATTAGAATGTGGGGCAGAAGTTTGTGGTTATAGGGGGTGGGGGCAGGGGGAAAAAGAGGAGTGATTGGTGGAATGATAAAGTAAAGGGTGTGTAAAAGAGAAAAAGGTAGCTTACGAGAGGTTTTTACAAAGCAGAAGTGTTATAAGAAGAGCAGAGTATATGGAGAGTAAAAGAAAGGTGAAAAGAGTGGTGAGAGAGTGCAAAAGGAGAACAGATGAAAGAGTGGGAGAGGCACTGTCAAGAAATTTTAATGAAAATAAGAAAAAATTTTTGGAGTGAGTTTTAAAAAAAGTAAGGAAAGCCTAGGGAAAGTATGGATTTGTCAGTTAAAAACAGAGTAGGGGAGTTAGTAGATGGGGGAGAGGGAGGTATTAGGTAGATGGCGAGATTTTTTTGAGGAACTTTTTAAATGTTAAGGAAGAAAGGGAGGCGTTAATTTTTCATGCACTGGCCAGGGAGGTATACCATCTTTTAGGAGTGAAGAAGAGCAGAATGTAGTGTGGTGGAGGTACGTGAGGCATTACGTAGAATGAAAGGGGGTTTAAAACAGCTGGAACTGATGGGATCATGACAGAAAAGTTAAAAGCAGGGGGGGATATAGTGTTGGAGTGGTTGGTTCTTTTTTTTAATAAAAGTATGAAAGAGGGGAAGGTACCCAGGATTGGGGAGAGCATGTAAAAGTCCCTTTATATAAAGGGAAAGGGGACAAAAGAGATTGTAAAAATATAGAGGAATAAGTTTACTGGGGTATACCCGGAAAAGTATACGGTTAGGGTTTTAATTGAAAGAATTAGAGGTAAGACAGAATGTAGAATGCGGACGAGAAAGGGGGCTTCAGAGTGGGTAGGGGGTGTGTAGATCAAATGTTTACATTGAAGCATATATGTGAACAGTATTTAGATAAAGGTAGGGAAGTTTTTATTGCATTTATGGATTTAGAAAAAGGCATATGATAGAGTGGTGAGGAGCAATGTGGCAGATGTTGCAAGTATATGGAATAGGTGGTAAGTTACTAAATGCTGTAAAGAGCTTTTATGAGGATAGTGAGGCTCAGGTTAGGGTGTGTAGAAGAGAGGGGGAATACTTCCCGGTAAAAGTAGGTCTTAGACAGGGTGTGTAATGTCACCATGGTTGTTTAATATATTTATAGTGGGGTTGTAAAAGAAGTAAATGCTAGGGGGTTCGGGGGAGGGGTGGGATTAAATTATGGGGAATCAAATTCAAAAAGGGAATTGACACAGTTACTTTTTGCTGATGATACTGTGCTTATGGGAGATTCTAAAGAAAAATTACAAAGGTTAGTGGATGAGTTTGAGAATGTGTGTAAAGGTAGAAAGTTGAAAGTGAACATAGAAAAGAGTAAGGTGATGAGGGTATCAAATGATTTAGATAAAGAAAAATTGGATATCAAATTGGGGAGGAGGAGTATGGAAGAAGTGAATGTTTTCAGATACTTGGGAGTTGACGTGTCGGCGGATGGATTTATGAAGGATGAGGTTAATCATAGAATTGATGAGGGGAAAAAAGGTGAGTGGTGCGTTGAGGTATATGTGGAGTCAAAAAACGTTATCTATGGAGGCAAAGAAGGGAATGTATGAAAGTATAGTAGTACCAACACTCTTATATGGATGTGAAGCTTGGGTGGTAAATGCAGCAGCGAGGAGACGGTTGGAGGCAGTGGAGATGTCCTGTCTAAGGGCAATGTGTGGTGCAAATATTATGCAGAAAATTCGGAGTGTGGAAATTAGGAGAAGGTGTGGAGTTAATAAAAGCATTAGTCAGAGGGCAGAAGAGGGTTGTTGAGGTGGTTTGGTCATTTAGAGAGAATGGATCAAAGTAGAATGACATGGAAAGCATATAAATCTATAGGGGAAGGAAAGAGGGGTAGGGGGTCGTCCTCGAAAGGGTTGGAAAGAGGGGTAAAGGAGGTTTTGTGGGTGAGGGGCTTGGACTTCCAGCAAGCGTGCATGAGCGTGTTAGATAGGAGTGAATGGAGACGAATGATACTTGAGACCTGACAATCTGTTGGAGTGTGAGCAGGGTAATATTTAGTGAAGGGATTCAGGGAAACCGGTTATTTTCATATAGTCGGACTTGAGTCCTGGAAATGGGAAGTACAATGCCTGCACTTTAAAGGAGGGTTTTGGGATATTGGCAGTTTGGAGGGATATGTTGTGTATCTCTATACGTATATGCTTCTAAACTGTTGTATTCTGAGCACCTCTGCAAAAGCAGTGATAATGTGTGAGTGTGGTGAAAGTGTTGAATGATGATGAAAGTATTTTCTTTTTGGGGATTTTCTTTCTTTTTTTTTGGGTCACCCTGCCTCGGTGGGAGACGGCCGACTTGTTGAAAAAAAAAAAAAAGAAAAAAAAAATTATATGTAAATATGTAATTACACACCATTCTAAAACAGTTGTTGGAGGAAGCATCATCCACCATGTTCCTCCTAAGCGAAGGCGACTCATCCTTGAACTGCAACACATATTTAAATCATAATATAAATGGCATACAATACCAACAAGTTGGTAAGACACATGCACAACACTTAGGCATATTTATTAACGAAATGTCTTGCCAGCACTGCAGGCTTCATCTTTGAAGTATTTGTAATGCATATTTATTGATGAATGTCTTGGAGCACTGCAGGCTTCATCTCTGTATTTGTAATGCATATTTACTGATGAATGTCTTGCCAGCACTGCAGGCTTCAATCTGTATTCGTAATGATATTGGTAGAATCTCCAACAATGTTAGGTAAAAGGACGCATGTGCAACTAATGTGACATTTTTATTATAGCAATGTTTCACTCTCCAGGAGCTTTTTTAAGCCTTAATGGCTTTACAAAGCTCCTGGAGCAAAATGTCACATTAATTGCACATGTTCTTTTGCCTAACATCTCTGTATTTGACTGATGAGGTGAACATAGGCAGACAGACTTGCTCATAAGTCTTGCCCTGCCTGAGAACTGAGGGAACTGGGCTGTGAACTAAATATTTTACACCTAAGCTACACATTACTGAAGGGTTGTAGACTTATGTGAACTAAGAACAAAGAATATGTGGGAAAGGTTACAATTAGCCTGCAATGAAGTCAAAATGTTTCGTCAGTAAAAATACCTAGCACATGAATTACTCGTCATTTATTTCTATATATTCACTGCCATATGTCTGGTTAATGAAGTTCTAAAATTTGTAATGCTTAGTAACAATGAGTTGTCAGACAGTACACAGACATTACGAAGAATATTGAAATGGTTATTTATTACTCCAAAGGAACTACAAAGGTTAATAAAATGGCTGTTTGTTATTAGGAAGAAATGGGAAAAAAATTATGGTTTATGTCAAATGCTGAGTCTATACATACTGTACTTTGGTAACAGCATAAAAAGTTACAATGAATCTCGGATTATAACCAGAAAAAAGTTATCACATATATTTTTATCCCGTCTTTATATAGAACTCCAACTTATTACCAATATGTCTAGTGATCATGATTCTGTACCAGAAATGGTATAAAATATTGACATGAGGGCAAAAAAGAGATACAAATGAATGTAAACTGAATTTGTTTCTCTTTTTTTTTCACGTTCTTTATGATTGTAACTGTGATGATAAGGAAAATACTTAACATGTGTAGTGATAAGGAAAATACTTAATATGTGTAGTGATAAGGAAAATACTTAAACACATGTAGTATGTAATGTGCAGCGATAAGAAAATACTCAACACATGTAAATACCAACACAGGAGGATGAAGAATGATTTTTTGGTTAGAACATTTTCAAAATCATGTACCTGGCACTAGTTAGGACTTACTAAAATCATTAATGGATTAAAGTCAAGAATGAAAAGCTCTTGGTTCAGATGCTTCTCGGAAAATGATAAGCTACTGAATGAGCACTAAAGCTATACTGTTTGTGTTGTGGTAGCATTAAACTTGTGTATTTACTTACAATACATTGTAACAGAAATTCAATCAGTACAGTATGTTTTTTTATTTTCCCTTAGGCATAAATTAACATCAATATGAATCAGTTTGCTATATACATAAATGAAAAATTGGCAATGTGCTAAAGACTTCAAATTATTGAGTGGCAGAGGGAAGACGGGAGACATATTAGATAGGTTTCCTGCATTGATCTTCCAGCTCTGAGATACTAACCTCATGACACTGTTTATAACTTTTGGTATCTGGCTCATAAGTAGCTTGAGAACTCTCTGTTTTCTGAATCTTGGTCATCAATATCGTCAAACCCTCCAATAGTTGCTGCCTGCGCTCTGGATCCTAAAGAAAACATGAGAGTACAGCATCTTCAGTCAGCATCCTCCAAATCAAATTATTAAAAGTTCTTATCTTAAATACAGATCTCTTTTATTATTTTTCTGTGTAAGTGATTTAAGTCAATACAGGCATACTTCACTAATATGGTGCGTTAGGTTCCAGCCAACTGCCGTAAAGTGAATATTGCCTTAAAATGAATCACAGACTTTTTCTTCACTTGCCAATGCATATAAAATTTTACAAACATGTTTATGCCATCATTTATAAAGTGCACTATAGTACTAGGCCTAAAAAATGAAGCAAAAGGAAAAATAATAAAAAATGCAAGGCAAGGGCGAAAAAAATAAACATGAACGAAAAGCACCATATTGGTAAAGCTCTCTAAAGTGAAGCACCTTAAAGTGAAGTATGCCTCTACTTGACAAAAGCTCTACCCTTAGCAAAATGTTATCCAAACTTTTGTTCATCATACTGTCTTCATACCCCTTCTTCCTATTGCCATTAAGCTTTTGCATCCAGTTTAACTAACATTCTTGCTGACACATAGGTTAGGTTAGGTAAGATTCATTAGTAAACAGGACAAGTGTTTCCTGACGCAGGTCTCAGTCATATGACCCACAGCTGGAGCTTTTGGTCACCTGACTGAGGCCTTCCACTGGCTTACCACTCCACCTCTTTAAAAAATATGGTTATAATTCTAACTAATAGATCTTACATATGGCACTAGTGAATATTACACAATTTATGAGTTAAATCAAGATAATGGTTTTACCTATGTATAGGAAACGAAATTTCTAAAACACCACATACCTGAATCAACTTGTCAATGTCGTCTTCATATCTTTTCACTAGTTTCATTGCCTGTAAATATAAAAGCAATGCTTACTGTTATATTTATATACAAATTTAACCCTATACGTATAGTTACAAATTTAATCCTATCTATCTACAAACTTAATCCTGTCTAGTATGATTAATCAATAGCTTCTTCAGATACACACATGATGGTACAAAGGTGTATAATGTTGAAGGGATGATATCTGAGGTAGAGAATTAGCACCAGGTAGGAAATCATAAATTCTGCATTAAATGTTGAACCAACAGTGAAGAAACCTTTCCATAAGTCATTTGACTGAGGCCTTCTGTTGGCTTCATAGTCTGCTCAGTAAAATGTTGAATATGACATTGAAAGAAGCAAACCCTCAGTATAGCAGAGTTGAAATTATGGTCACAGTCTACAAAGTAAGTTGTGCTTTTAACTTATTATCAATGGCTAATACAGCCTCTCGGACTTACAACGGGCTCTCTGACCAGTATTCATACCTAAATAATGTATATTAGAGCTGATTTCCTCTATTCTGTTTATTTCAATATAATACAGTAAACTACTGTGTAAACATTTAAAAATATACCAGAAATGTTATCAATGGTGCAAAGGTGACATCAAAACAATATCAAAGACGGTTGACACAAACCCATTAACATTATAGTACAGTATGCTCCTCACTTAGCGACAAATTCGTTTAACGACGTGGTCTTAGGAATGGAACCCCATTATTAAGTGAGGAGAGGCTGTACAGTATTTCTGTAAACTATGTGTAAAGTAAACCATACCCCGGCCGGGATTGAACCCGCGGTCATAGAGTCTCAAAATTTCAGCCCGTCGCGTTAGCCACTAGACCAGCTAGCCACAATAAGATTCGTCCAACTAGGTATATTTCTACACCATAGGAAGGTTAGCACAGGCACCGTGACTACAAATGCAAGTTTTTACAGACGAATCTCCAGCTAGCATGGCCGTGACGAACTCTAGCTCAAGTCCCTTCACTGCCGTCAACATGACTCACGAAATCGTAATGACACGATTGCAAACAAACCATACCCCGGCCGGGATTGAACCCGCAGTCATAGAGTCTCAAAACTCCAGCCCTTCGCGTTCATGAGTTATGTGTAAAGTACAGTGGACCCCCGGTTAACGATTTTAATCCGTGCAAGAGGGCTCATCGTTATGCGAAATAATCGTTATGCGAATGAATTTTCCCCATAAGAAATAATGGAAATAAAATTAATCCGTGCAAGACGGCCAAAAGTATGAAAAAAAATTTTTTTTACCACATGAAATGTTAATTTTAATACACACAAACTGAAAAAGGCATGCACAATTAAATGACACTTACTTTTATTGAAGATCTGGTGATGATTGATGGGATGGGAGGAGGGGAGAGCATTATCTTCTTACTGTTTAGAAGGGGAATCCCCTTCCATTACGACTTGAGGTAGCAAGTCCTTTTCCGGGGTTACTTCCCTTCTTCTTTTAATGCCACTAGGACCAGCTTGAGAGTCACTGGACCTCTGTCGCACAACAAATCTGTCATAGAGCTCTGTACCTCCCGTTCCTTTACGATTTGTCTAAAATGGGCCATAACATTGTCATTGAAATAGTCACCAGCACGGCTTGCAACAGCTGTGTCAGGGTGATTTTCATCTATAAAGGTTTGCAGTTCAACCCACTGTGCACACATTTCCTTAATCTCTGAAGTAGGCACAGTGGATTCCACAACTGGCATAGGCTTCTCAGGGTTAGCCCCAAACCCTTCAAAATCTTTCTTAATTTCATATAATTCTCACCCTTTTTACCACAGGGTTGGCACTAGAAGCTTTCTTGGGGCCCATGGTCACTTATTTTCCAGAAACAGCACCGAAAATACTGTAATAATACGAAATATTCGAGTGTATGCTTGGATGTTACCGCGGAGGCTGGCTGGTAAACAATGGGACGGAGCGGCACATGTGAGGCTGGCTGAGGGCACATTGGACGCGTCTCGGACGAAAATCGGTATGCGGGTTTTTAATCGGTATGCGCGGCAAAAATTTTGCGATAAAAGTAATCGTTATGCGGAAAAATCGCTATGCGATGCCATCGTTATGCGGGGGTCCACTGTACTAGGTATATAGCAGAGTTGTGTATTTTTTTATTTTTTAGCATTCTGAATTGAAGGCCACTTAGACAACTCCCCTTTATTAACCAATTAAATCAAAGGTCACAAAGTTTGACCTTATTCACAAAGGGTCACTGCTGACAGTTCAAGTCAGTTTAACAAAGCACTAAGATCAAAATGCTGTCAAAATACAAGCTTTCTTTGCCCCTGTGTCATTTAGTATTCACCTGCCATGGGTTTAGCTTCAACAGTCCCCTGATTTATTTCACTTTCCTCATGAGTATATGAATCAGAATATAAAATCCTGTATCAAAATTTTAGTATAAAGTAAGTTTTTAACAAGAGCCGCATCCCATCAAGGAAAGGTAACTGAAAGAGTAAAATGAAAGTTTTTCTTTTTAAATTTAGTAATTTAAACAGAAGGGGTTACTAGCTCCCTGCTCCTAGCAAATTATTTCAAGAAAATTCCTGTCAACTGTTTGAAAGCAAAGTGATCCTGTTGTGAAATAATATTAAATGCTTTCAACATACCTTAAGAACTGTTTCATTATCTTCTTTCGTTTTTTTGACCTGAGACCAAAGCGAGATCAACCCTTCAATGGTAAAAAACAAACATAATTAATATTAGTATAATACATTACTGTATAACAGACAGGTGGTAGGTTAAAATACAGCATGTATATGTATTTATTCACCTATATGTTGTTGCAGGGGTTGAATATATATACTATGTAATGTGTATATATGTATGTATATGCATGTATATATGAAAATACGTATGAATGAATGAATGTATGTACATATATACGCATGTATACATGTTTGCGTGTGTGTATGCATATACGTGTACATGTATACACAGGTATGTACAGGAGGGCCCCGTGTATCCAGCACCACTTTTCAGAATTCCACTTTTTCATTAGCTTTCAGCTGAGCCACTATTCATTATGTTCATTGCTTTTACCACTTTTCTGCGATTATTCAGCCTATTATTGTTGTTTTTGCATAACATTTGTGTAAAGGAAGAATGAATGGCACTGTATTTTTAAGGTAAGTATTGTATGTACTGTGTATTTGCTAATTTTATCTATGTTTTATACCACTTGTCCGTGGGTACAATAATATAAAATACTGCTTGTTGTACTAGTACACCAAACAGGAAGTAGAATGAAATTAGGCTAGTCAGCCACACCACCGTATGTCCTTGGGTAGCAAGTACAACATCCAGTTCTGCTGAATGCGCTACTCTTAAGGATTGTGTGATCCCATGGATTAAGGCATCACAAGTTTTCACCCACCATGAGGCAGGCCAAAGCAGCATGGGTTCGACTCCTTGATTAGTCACAGTGTTGTTATTGATCAATACCATTAGTTCGTGGGTACAATAATACAAAATACTGCTCATTGTACTAGTACACCAAACAGGGAGTAGAATGAAATTAGCCGTGAGTCATCTACACCACCGTATGTCCTTGGGTAGCTAGCACAACTTCCAGTTCTGCCGGATGCGCTACTCTTAAGGATTGTGTGGTCCGGTGGATTAAGGCGTAAGGGTACAAGGTTGCTAGCAGGGTACAACAAGGTTGCTACCAGGGTACAACAAGGTTGTTTTCAAGGTACAAGGTCTGTCACTGCTGCTTCATGTTGTCTGCCACTGCTACCTCATGATGTCTGCCACTGCTGCTTCATGATGTCTGCCACTGCTGATTTATGTTGTCTGCCACTACTGTTTCATGTTGTCTGCCACTACTGTTTCATGTTGTCTGCCACTACTGTTTCATGTTGTCTGCCACTACTGTTTCATGTTGTCTGTCACTGCTGCTTCATGTTGTCTGGCACTGCTGCTTCATGTTGTTTGCCACTGCTACCTCATGATATCTGCTCCCACTTTTGCTAGCGTGTTGAAGAGCTTTCCAATATGTGAAGGTTGAGGGCTAGTGCCAATAGGACAGTTATTGGACAGTGACGTCATCTGTTTACATCGCCAAAGAATTGAACATTTCTTCTACTTTGAGCTCAATTTCAAGGTACTTTTTGTTGTGAAACCAATCAAAATCATATCTATTTCTATCAAACGAGACCAAGAAAACGAGAATAAAACCATAAAAACCATACGAAAATATACCGCTAAGGGGAGGCTAATGTCTGAGAAGTGAACTCCCTTATTTATGGTCCAATTTCTTTCGGTTTTGGTGTACATTAAGAAGCATCTGTCCATCATACATTGCCCAAGTTTCAATAAGATAGTCCAACAAACAATTGAGATCCAATTCCCTAGATCAAGAGCAAGAACCCTTCACTAGCATCAAGGAACCTCCCTCGAGGCCCGCTCGCATCTGGAAATTTCACTCGCTTATGGAAGCAAAAAATCGACCGAGCGACTGCTCGTGTCTGGAAAAACTCGCAGATGGATGCGCTCGTTATCTGGAGGTTCCAATGTACACTCAGAAAACCACATATATCTTATGCTAAATCTCTATAAGATCTCAAGAATGTATGCCAAAAATATCTATATGAAATGAGAATCATTGTATAAGTTTTTAACTCTTGTAAAATAATTTGTAGATCTTATCTTCACTACTGAAGATGTGTACAGGACTGACTGCCTCTATTAATATCAGTTAATGCAATTGCAATTACGTATTATATGTAAAATTCTTCACTAATCTATTAAACAAATAATAACCCATCATACATGCATGAAATTAACATGTACAAAATATAACCTAATTTCATAAAAAAATCTTGAATTCAGCTGAATAATGTTATAAATACAATTTCTACAGGTCTTTTACCAATCTTTACCTAACATATGTGAAAACACCAATCCATTAATGAACACATGGTACAAAACAAATGCATGTCTAGAAAAAAGCAACTGAGAACAAATATTTTCTGGAAGTCACCCTAAAAGCGATAAAGATACTACCTGGAGTTTACCTGGAGAGAGTTCCGGGGGTCAACGCCCCCGCGGCCCGGTCTGTGACCAGGCCTCCTGGTGGATCAGAGCCTGATCAACCAGGCTGTTGCTGCTGGCTGCACGCAAACCAACGTACAAGCCACAGCCTGGCTGGTCAGGAACCGACTTTAGGTGCTTGTCCAGTGCCAGCTTGAAGACTGCCAGGGGTCTGTTGGTAATTCCCCTTATGTATGCTGGGAGGCAGTTGAACAGTCTCAGGCCCCTGACACTTATTGTATGGTCTCTTAACGTGCTAGTGACACCCCTGCTTTTCATTGGGGGGATGTTGCATCGTCTGCCAAGTCTTTTGCTTTCGTAGTGAGTGATTTTCGTGTGCAAGTTCGGTACTAGTCCCTCTAGGATTTTCCAGGTGTATATAATCATGTATCTCTCCCGCCTGCGTTCCAGGGAATACAGGTTTAGGAACCTCAAGCGCTCTCAGAAATTGAGGTGTTTTATCTCCGTTATGCGCGCCGTGAAGGTTCTCTGTACATTTTCTAGGTCAGCAATTTCACCTGCCTTGAAAGGTGCTGTTAGTGTGCAGCAATATTCCAGCCTAGATAGAACAAGTGACCTGAAGAGTGTCATCATGGGCTTGGCCTCCCTAGATCTGAAGGTTCTCATTATCCATCCTGTCATTTTTCTAGCAGATGCGATTGATACAATGTTATGGTCCTTGAAGGTGAGATCCTCCGACATGATCACTCCCAGGTCTTTGACGGTGTTTCGCTCTATTTTGTGGCCAGAATTTGTTTTGTACTCTGATGAAAATTTAATTTCCTCGTGTTTACCATATCTGAGTAATTGAAATTTCTCATCGTTGAACTTCATATTGTTTTCTGCAGCCCACTGAAAGATTTGGTTGATGTCCGCCTGGAGCCTTGCAGTGTCTGCAATGGAAGACACTGTCATGCAGATTCGGGTGTCATCTGCAAAGGAAGACACGGTGCTGTGGCTGACATCCTTGTCTATGTCGGATATGAGGATGAGGAACAAGATGGGAGTGAGTACTGTGCCTTGTGGAACAGAGCTTTTCACCGTAGCTGCCTCGGACTTTACTCTGTTGACGACTACTCTCTGTGTTCTGTTAGTGAGGAAATTATAGATCCATCGACCGACTTTTCCTGTTATTCCTTTAGCACGCATTTTGTGCGCTATTACGCCATGGTCACACTTGTCGAAGGCTTTTGCAAAGTCTGTATATATTACATCTGCATTCTTTTTTATCTTCTAGTGCATTTAGGACCTTGTCGTAGTGATCCAATAGTTGAGACAGACAGGAGCGACCTGTTCTAAACCCATGTTGCCTGGGTTGTGTAACTAATGGGTTTCTAGATGGGTGGTGATCTTGCTTCTTAGGACCCTTTCAAAGATTTTAATGATATGGGATGTTAGTGCTATCGGTCTGTAGTTCTTTGCTGTTGCTTTACTGCCCCCTTTGTGGAGTGGGGCTATGTCTGTTGTTTTTAGTAACTGTGGGACGACCCCCGTGTCCATGCTCCCTCTCCATAGGATGGAAAAGGCTCGTGATAGGGGCTTCTTGCAGTTCTTGATGAACACGGAGTTCCATGAGTCTGGCCCTGGGGCAGAGTGCATGGGCATGTCATTTATCGCCTGTTCGAAGTCATTTGGCGTCAGGATAACATCGGATAGGCTTGTGTTAACCAAATTTTGTGGCTCTCTCATAAAAAATAGCTATGAATTTGGTCAACTGGAACAATGGAATTGGCCAAAAACAGGGTTCAAAATGGACGAAATTACCACTGCATAAATATCACGGGCTTCTTGGACCTCTTGGGGAGGGTCGATGGTGCTCGTGCAAGCAGCAGATCCCAGGGCAACTTGCTGCTGTTTGCAATGGCTGTCTACCGAGGAGAGACAGACACCTAGCAACATCTGTTGTTAGGGCAATGGATGAATTCCCTGCTATGCTTGTTAACTGCTCATTACTCTGTAATTTGTCTATGATTGTAATCATGTTGATAACGTGTTTATCATTCATTACCTTTAAAAAATTGTCATGATGTGACCAGCTCTACCATGGAGTCATTACCTTTGTAAATTTCTGATTAATGTGTTTATGATTCATTACCTTTGCAATTATTCATGAGTGTGACCAGCTCTACCTGGAGCTCATTACCTTGTAACTTGGTCATGTGTATGACCAGATCAGTTCATTACCTTTGTAACTTGCTCAGCTATCAAAACTTTGGAGTCCAGTCCCTGGACCAATTATGTACCTCTGTAATCTTTGATACGCCACAGGATGGGTATGGGGTGCATAATAAACATATTAAACTAAATACTAACTAAATATCACGAAGATGTAACTTTGCAAAAGCATAGTTCTGTAATTTTTCCATCAAATTTCATTCTTTTAGTTTCATTACCTTTGGAAAAAGATTCTCCTATCATAGAATTTTTTTTTTAAATCCTTAACAAGCAAATCGGATCAGTGGTTATGACCCTGAAAGGGTTAATAATGAACACATATGGTACAAAAAAATTGCATGTTAAAATAAAGGAAACTGAAAAATATTTTCTTGAATTCGCTCTAAAAGTGATACTTAGCATTTAAACAATCTTTAACCAGGTGTTACCAAATAAATTTGAAGCCAACAGAAATACATGAGATGCATTCATGCAA